TCAGCACACATTGGTTTATTCAGTAGATACTTAGAGTTTAAACGCGGAGTCTAGCTGATATTTCATACAAAGTGTTGTTAGCAGTCACTCTGCGGAACGGGAGTGCATGCTCAGTGTGCAATATATCTGAAATTATATTAAATGTGCCCTTTGATTCGAACACATTCAATACCAATACAATGTCAATGCCACGATTTCTTACACACCCTAACAATTTGGAATAGTTTTGAAAAGCGGAAAAAATTGTGAAAGTATATCGCAAACAAAAAATACGCCATAAATAACATCATTATGGACTAACAAAATACTGCAGTATTCGTATTTTGATGGTTGTTTGAAACGATATCTAAATGCATTCAAATGCGTGTTCAGATTAGGTCCTCTTTGAAGCTAATCCCAAATTCAATAGACGTCCTTATTAATAAGTATTAATATGACATATTAAGGCGACAAATTAATAGGCAGAAAAAGAAAGGTTTCTGGAGCATGTTGAGAGTTCGATTTCCAGAAGCAGTTTCCAGAGGATGTCTTTTCCAGTCGAGCGTTATGACCATAAGTGAGCCGAGTCCTTCAATTAATATTTCTATTAGTATTACGTTTTCTACTAGAAAACAAATTTAAACACTGAATGCCAAAGACTATATTCTTAAAATTCGTTAATCATCTACAATGTTAAAATAGATTCATAATTCGCTTTAATTTTGAAACATATGCAATTTTTGAAACTTCTTTTTTTTAAAAAAACAATTTCTTTTCCAATTGGGGAAATGGCTCCGCTCTGGAGCCGCCCTTACCGGAAGCAAATCCTAGCGGACATCTCCTGTCGCGGATGGTGTTACGTAAGCGCCTGGGACTTGGCGGGGTGGGGCGTGGCGGGGAGGGGCGGGGCGGGGCCGGAGTGGGTCTCGCTCCAGGGCGCCGAAGAGCCTGGCCAGCTGCCGATTAGCCGCTTCTGGTTTCGGAGAGAGCGGCGCGGCAAAAGGGGGCGCGTGAGCGGTTGCGTAACGCACGCACTCTCGCACCTTCACGCGCCCGCGACCCGACGCATCGCGACGCCACGCGACGCCACGCGCGAACTCCCGTTCTAGTTCGCCAGACGACAGAGGGTCGAAGGTGATAAAGGGCTTAGCGTGGACAAGAGAAAGTGGGATCAGTTTAATAAATTCTCATGTGTAGTGAAATCTTTCTTAAGCGGTTCCGGAGAAAAATTACCGTTAGTAAAGGTGCGCCCTTTAGTGGAGGTTATCAGAATATTGGAAGCGGACATTTAACTAACTTGCTCTTTGCAGTGAAGGAGGATTTTTATTCACACTTGTTCTACGTAAGACGTGAAGCTGTTTTTGTAAGTGCACCTTTAAATACCACTTGTAAATATCATTCAATTTCTGGAATTTGAACTCTTATTTTTCATATAATATTGTTTATTCCCAATCATGGTCTTGATTCCTAATTAGACTTGAAGAAGCATTATTCACCCTCAAGAAATTTAAGAGAGTGCAAGAAAATTCTTTATTGAGAAGGAAAAGAAGAAGAATATTAAGTTGTTATTAAGGATATTCGTTAAACTTTAAAATATTGTTATACTGATTTCCGTGAAAGATTACACCAAATACAAAGTCTCGTCCCGAGACCAAACTCAAGTTGGTGGTGGCAGCATCAGGAGGAACTTACTTGAATTTATTTGAATGCCGGCAGGGAAATCGTTAATCCTAAAAACGCTGAGATAACTTTTCTATTACCATCAATTTTTCTCATTCCTAAAATGCTTTCCTTCGTTCTAAGAAATATTTAGATCAAAACAAATGTAGGAGATTAGGATATATCATAATTTGCGAACGGACACCCGAAAGTGAACTCTTGATATAAAAGTAAAACATTTTTGACGCGCCTACGACAATTTGTGCACTCGAGAAATTGAGAAGAATGCACAAAGAAATTCGACAGAAATTGGAGCCATTCGAATCCTCATTCGAAAAGTGTTTGCGTTAGCTTTAGCCCAAGCCCTATCTCGAACAAACAAAAAAGCGTGTCATAATTCACTGAAAGAAAAATTAGACGCGTCAGAAGCATGTCAGTGACACTTCAAGATTCCTAATCATTTCTGTCCTCGGCAGAACTCAACATCATTTTTTATCTCTCCCAGAAAATGACTGTAAGGCAAAGGAAGTGACCTTGTGGTCCTTTGTATGGTCATTTCAGAAGTCTGTATTTTCAGTGCTCTCCAGCGCTTTAGGAAGTAGTTGAGAAGTTCTTTGTTTCTAACATCGGGTGGGTTCTCCACTTACCTCCACTTCGGATGATTTACTCATTGGAATGGAGTTAATCTCCCTCATTTACTTGCAGCCTTGAGTACTATACAGCTCAGGCCCCGCTCACCGGGAAGCGAGACTGAACTTTTGACGGCGACTGGATTTGCAAGCAACCAATTAGCTAGACCACTGGTTGGGAGTTCTACATTTTTTATGTAAAACCTATTTATAAACTGTTAGAAGAGGTATCTCATGGAAAAACAGCCATACGTCAACAAAACATCGTACTAATATGCTTATATCTTTATAATAATACTGCTGCAGCACATTGCGTGTGTGTGCGTGTGTGTGTCCTATTTCTCGTTCTGGAAAGGAATTACTCGAACCCACATGTGTCGCGTGCTCAAAGGGCAACGTCGTGGCGCATCGCGGGGCGCGTTCGGAGCTGATGTATCCTCTCTCACAGCGTTCACGGAGGCGTACCTCGCCAACATGCTTATCGATACGAGGTGAAATAGCAGCATTTGATTGATAAAGATTACACGATTGGTCTGTAAGTCACCAACTAGATGTAACACAAGTTCGGCATGAAGGGATTGTCATACGTGAATAAATGAGTGAATACGTGAAAGTTATGTATTTGATTACATTTCTCTAGCCCGCAATGACATATGAGAGTATTGGAATTTTCATGTACTCTACTACGGCTTTATTTTCAATTACGCAGATTTTTTCAGGGCAACGTAAAAAGCAACGTCAAAAATCTTGATAACTAGACCCCGTTATACGTAGGAAGAAACTCCTGTAGATTACCTACGGTATGATAATAAAGAAAGTATGTTCGAGTTTCATTTTAGAAATTTGGTAGGTTATGCACAGAGAAGCAGGGGCAAAGTCCGACCTTACTCAAAATTCTACCATCTCCGGTTCTCGAACTTAGGGCTTTATGTGTTACAATGCCTCGCCACCACATACCCTAACCATCCAAAATGTTCCATTATTATGTTATATTAATCTTCTATGAAGTGGTTCTGCCAAAGACTCTTCTTGAATAGACGGAAATAATCATTGACGAATACTGTGTCGAATTTGTGGACCCCGAATGAAAGAATTTTAGAGGTAATCGGAGAGGGTATTCCATTCTAGTCTGATAGTAGCAATAAAGTTTACAATACTTGGCATATGGATACACATGAGAATTATTTTTTTTACAATACGAAATTTGCATTTTACATTGTTTTTTATTCGAACTCTATATGTTGCATTGTTTCATACACGAACTTTATATTTTACATTGTTTCCTATACAAACTTTATATACCCCCATCGATAAACTGTTTCATTCGCCAAATTGGTATTTATCGAAATTGTCAGGTTAGTTTCAAATCACGTCATATGTGGTTCTCGCTGGACCGAGGAAAGAATTTCACCCATATTAGAATACCTTATAGTTGATGTGAGCAAACTAGGTGAAGTGCTGTTACTTATCTCATCTTTGTACTTAATTGTACCTTGAGCGGCTATTCCTCCCCTTCATGTGAAATTATGAAAAATAATTTCATATTATAATAGTTACACACACCGTGATAGAAATCTGTATTTAAACTTACAGTGCCCAGTGGCAGAATACAGATATGCAAAGTCTATGTAATTTTATAACAAAAAGTGTAATGACTATATCATACTTACCCTTCGCCCTACCAAACACATTATTATTTATGTGTTATTATATAGTATATGATCGGAGTGGGTCGGGCACGGCAGATCGCGGCGGAGTGGAACGGTTATATATATATATATATATATATATATATATATATATATATATATATATATATAGTTATATATTGAAAAACAGTTAAAAACTGTGGGTGACGTTTTATAGGATGGAGTGTATTCTGTGCAAATTTTCTTAAATCCTGGGTTTACTATCGTAGCCCACATACAAGTTGATTTCTAAATACAGATGGAAATGAGCGCATGCTAATGATATACTACATGCACATACGTATATACTCCCATTTACAGTCAATCACATCTATTTTTACATCCATCCATCCACATATACCTACATATACTTTGTACATACATTATACATACATATATTCAGGCACATTAATACGCATACATACTCATAAACATATACACGTGTCACATATACACCTGGCAGCCCTCGGAAACGTCGCTGCTGCAGCTTACGCAACGCCCCCGCGACCCGTGCACACGCACGCCCGCTTCCGCGACGGCGTGGCGGCGGCGACGGCGGCGGTGGCGCTCGCGGGGGGCGGAGAGTAACGAGCACCGGTTTCGGAGGCGGAGGCGGCGGGGGCGGCGGGCGAGGGCCGCGCCTCAGCCAAGGACTGCTGCCCCGCTGCCGCCGCCGCCTTGGCCGTGGCAACGAAGCCGCCGCCGCCACCGCCGCCGCCGCGGCACAAAGGGACACGCCACCAAAATACGCGGCGGAAATTGTCCAAAAAGTTAATTTCACTCAACAAAACGCATGTGTGTTTCAGTGAGTTGTTGAGGTGGAGTGTTTTAGGCGATTGGTTGGGGAGGTAACAACTGTTGTCGTTGAGGCTCCTTTAATGGGGAGGTCGTAGGGTTCGAGTTCAGACCGTGGTGGATTTCCTAGCGAGAAAGCTCGGTCGGAAACAGCTCATATCTGGACAGGGGGGATTCTAGCAACCAGTTGCTGTGATCGGTGGTTTTCTGTGGATTTTTTGATCAATGTGGTGATTCCCGGAGAAGTTTCCTAACAAACGGGCCCCGATCCTCGCGTGAACTTCCCTTCCTCATCCTTATTCAGACTCTTCCCCTCCTCATACACGCCACAGCCACACACATGAACTACGCCACCAGACAGTGGGAATCCATAGCTTAGATCTTGTTCTGGTTAATGGGGTTCCCCGCTGGCGGAGATACTGAGATGCCTTGAGTGGTGAAAATCATGCTAGCTGACATTTAGGAATGCGCCGGTTCTCGCGTTCCAGAGGAGGAGAACCCCACCACCGTCTGGTTTTCACATGCACTGCCCTTACGCTGCTAATAACCAAAGGTGACACGTCTTGAAATACTACTCATTCACTCAAAGTGATTATCTGTGTTGTGGCTTGTGGCGTCGTAATAATTCTTCGGTTTGGTTGTAAGTTGGACTTGTCGCGTCAGAGAAGACTAATTTCACTTTCGAGTAGTGGTGTTGAAGGAAAATCATTATATGCAATAAATAATCATCCATCACTTATCTATCAAGAATTATCCATCATTTCATAACTACTCGGGGGCTGTTCGATATGTAGTGATGAGACCACTCACAGCCCACTGCTGGCCCGGGTTTCATTTCATGGACGATCCACGTGGAGTTTGTGGTGAACAAAAAAGACTTCTTGGAACAAATTCTGCGGATGCCCTGGTTGCCCATGGTACTTATTACTCCACTTTATTAATCATTATTTCATTAAAACAGCCCTTTTTAGATGCTACAGTACACATTTTAGAAACATTATAGACATAGTGATTTGAAATTTGGAAATTATTGTGATTGGAGATCTTTTAATGTTAGTCATATGTGAAGCGCAGAGAAAAATAATGAAATGGCATCGGATACTTGCATTTTGCGCATCATATACACCAAAAAATTGTTCATATACTTTTTAGTGACAACCAGTACAGCTGATACGTTTCATAATTACTCAGGAGGACCAAGTATCAGCTCACTTTCCTTGATCGCAGGCTTCCCGTTGGAAACATGGTGCAATAACATATTCTTGAGTTTATACATCAATCTCTCAAATCGCAAGGTGAAAACAACAGAATTATCGATTGTGTCGAGCACGACGAAATAGCTGAGGATTTTCAACTATGTAAGGATGGGGAAGAGGATCGAGGGTGGGTCCAGGAGGGCGGGAGAAAAGGGGATCTGCCTTCCATTCTCCTCCTCGACCTCAAAATATTTCCGTACATACACCCTCCACTTTTCAACACATGCATTCCATAAATAACTTCTACAATAAAAAATGAACTATGAATATTTTTCACTATTTAAATATTACGAGAAGTAATTTGCAATGACCGCAAAAGAAGCTTTTCCAGAAAATACCCACGAGTCATTTTACATACATAAGGCAATTTGCTAATCTGAAAAGGAGAGGAAAAAAACATCAAAGCATGCAATCCAATGTCGGAAGTCAAAGTTTTAGAGGTTCTACAATAATCGCAGTTATGCCACAAAATGGATTAGCCATTTCATTACCGTTTTACACATCTGAGTAAATAAAATGTTTTGAGTTATATTATTTGTTATAATTTGTAGAAACTGTTAGTAGTGGTGTCAATACTGTAATATTCTTTGGTTTTTATTTTATCTCAGAATGTTCAGTTTTCATGTCTTTGCGGCAAGGATACGATAACAATTGATGTTAATTTGGGGCTAGTTATGTAACACTCAACCATGTTTCCGCTTGCTTTTCTTAGTTATCTTTTCCACCAAAATTGTTTAGGAAACTTCCTGGGTAATTAATATAAAAATATTCCAAGATTTAGTAAAGAGTTTACAGTCAGAAAATCCGAAAAGCTAATGATTGATACATCTTTTTTAACTAACTTGTAAATGTACTTGTATCAGGTCAATCTTTCTGGTGATGAGAATGACGTTGAATATGAGAGCTGAGTGATCCAAAGAAACACACATCGATAATTAATTAGAGCTGATTGAAAAATTAAAATGCCATTTTACTGATTGCGTTTGACGAAAATTAGAAAATGTCATAAAAAGAGCAACTGATATTGATAATTATATTATATTTTCTTATCACATATTGTTTGGCATCAGATAGAGGGTGTATATTCATAATAAGAATTTTTCCGTTACTAAGCAAAAGCCATCATTGCTTGCACATATTCTGGCTTGGTAAATGACATATTATAAAATGAACAGCATTTCAAGCGTGTCAGCGTTATAATCTCGTAGAATCGAACCTCTACATTTCCAATAATTCAACTGAACTCTTATCTTAAAGTTTTATTTCCGTCCCACTTTGCTTTCATATTGTTTGAGACTCAGTTCCTAGAACCTATTCTATTAAATATTAGATAATTCAATTTTTCTTACCGTTTCCAATTCTACAAACTATTTTTTGCAGTAAATGTCCTCTACTTTCTATCGACGCAGTATTAGCAATACATTTCGACCACGCGGATTTTCGACCAACACTACCGCCCTCGTCTCCGCTCCTGCCGCTGCCGTTGTCGGTGGCTGTGCCAGTTGGACGTAGACACGCCTCCATCACACTGTCCCAAGGCCAGCCTCACATTAACGCACACTTGGCTCAGTTACCAATCGGAAAGCATTGATCTTGTTTCCGAAGTTCGTGAACACGTGTTTCAAGAACATTATCCAAATTGCGGTTCATATATTTATTTTAAATAATGATTATTCTAACTCCAAATATTATCAGCTGATAGTATTCTCGCACGTGTTGAGAGTATTACAGAAGAGTCTCAGAGAGGAGAGAAAAATTCGAGGTATCAAATAATTCGAAGTTCGAATACCGAACTCGTAATACGTTAGAAATCGAGGGGGAAAACAAAACGATTAATATATAAAAGAATTCAAGTTCTGTTTATGAAGGATCTAGAATATTTCCTGTTCCTATTTTCCAAAATAAGATGAAATCTGGACAAGGGAAGATCTATTTAACCGACTCTTTCAACTTCTTCGAGGCTGCAATGTACTGATTCTCCTTTACGCACTTTATTGTTGTGAAAGAGCAGGTCTGAAATTTAAATCTTTAGTGAAATTCCTTATAAAGTATTCTCCACACCAGTGCTTGGAGAACTACATCATCGGGTACATTAATTTATTTGATAGATAAATAATACAATATAATTACAAATATTATGAACCGTGCAGCCTAAGGAAGATAACAACATACATTTTATCATGACTAACGAGTTATATTTTTTAGAGAAACTCCCCATCTGCTTCAGATTTAAACTACACATAAATTCACGTGATCTCCATTCGTGGCCTAGAACTATAATCTAATAAAATATATTTAATTGCTTATGAGAAGGGAGAAAATAATGATTGACCTTTTTCATTGCAGAAATGATGCACATTTTTCATCTCTGGCTAATGACCTGATATTTTTTTCGCAACATTTTAGATTTATCCGCGCAACACATTAACATATTTAGTAACATTTTAGAGGAGCATTTATTTCACAATCTTTTTCCTCCATATAATACTTCACATTAATACATGATACAACATACGAAATTAGAAGTTTGTCCATGTAATGATTTTCACCCTGATACACGCTCAGAAAGTTTGGGAGGGCCGGTCCGGATGGCTGAGCTACTTCCAGCGACAAAAAGGAAACTGTTGATGACGTAAATCACTTGCATCTTTTACACAATCCGTATTTTGTTAAAAGTGTGACTGCTTAGAAACCTTTGCTTTATAACTAGTCACAGTGCAAGACACACAGCAATATACATATTATACTTCAATATAACAATATTATTGTTACTTTAACATTTTGAGCACGTCTCTAACATTGCCTTGCAAGCGTCTAGAGATCCATTTGATAGTAGAGAGTCAAATATCTCGAATCTGAAGGGAAATTATTATTTACGGAACCAGTGCAGAAAATGAACAAGTTTATTATAATGCAACTTTTCCGAAGTAACACTTTCCAATCAATGGACAGTAGTCGGGATGGGTTAGTTTCCGTGCGTGAACGCAAAAATTGATTTTATTGGTTCGTTCGAGAATGAAATTACGGCGTTTCAAAAATATGAAAAATGAAAAAGAAGACGAAAAACTGGATCACACTTCGATTGTCTTCTGTTCAAATATTCGGTATCCTTCTTATTATAGACAATGACTTTCTTGGTAATTGATATTGTTTGGACTAAGAAGTAAGAAGAAGAATGTTGGAGGAATGAAGTTCGTATACCAAACGAACTGTAATCATGGTTCGATGTGAGTATTAATGAAGATTGGTAACAAAATCCACGTGGTGGGCTCTGATAGCATCGCGTTCCAAAAGCAATTTGCGGCTGAAGGTTCCCTCTGGTCATAAGGCGCTACTTTTTACCAGCAGCGCGATCGAAGAAGGGTTGTTTGGTCACCACACAACATGCGAGTTCCTTTCCGCCCTCATAACTTTTGAATCATTAAGGATTTTCGAAAAAACAAACAATCCGTTTTCAGCAAGGCAGAAATGTAGGTTGTATAAAGTAGCTTAAAAATCAATATTTTATCAGATAATACTTTACACTGTGCAATCTCAATAATAAGACTTTGAATTATATCATTTCAATAGCAACGAAACTACATTTTCAAAGAACGCTCCTCTCATGGAAAGAATAAATATAAAGAATGCAATAAAGTACACCCTCTGTAATGAACATTAGAACAAGATTCTCCTGAGCGCACACACAAAACTGAAGTATTTTAGAGCAGTTGGTTTTTAGGCACTAATTAAACGACTATCATTTCAACTCATAATCGTGAATTCTTTCACGCTGTTTGTGAAGTATTCGCGGGGGAATAAATGAGGATTTCGGTTGTCAATAATGTATCCTACAATTTTGGTAATATTATTGTATTTTATAAAGAAGATCGAGTGTCCCTCTCCTCATTGCAAGTACAGATGACAAATGACGATGACAATTCACTCATACGTTATAGCATATCCAGCTCTATTCGTGAAAATAGTGGTATCATAACACATTTTCCTTGCAAATGTGAAATGTTAGATAGTAGTTACACGTCTTCCTGACCTCCCAATCTCTGCCACTTCTATTTTACTATACTATGTAGAATTCAGAAAAAAAGAAAACAACGAGCGTTTTGACAATTCTTGATACCACGAAATGTTTGATCTCGTAACAAACAGTCGATTTTCCTTCGGCAGACGTGCAACAAATTTGATTTGATAGTACCGCTGACGAAAGATATAAACCCCCTAATGCTCTCGTGTTGAGCAACTCGAGAACATGAGCGCGCGTAACAAAACTATTTCCACCGCAACGCCTCAAATCGGAGTCGACGCTCACCTGTTGCGCCAGTTGTCCCTGTAGTATTGGAACTCGTCGTTGAAGCCGCGCGACGCCGTCACGAGGTGGTTCCAGACACGCGTGTCCAGCACGTCGAACTCGTCATTCCAGATGAGCACTTCGCCGGGCCGCGCGCGCGCCCGCGCTCGCCCCACCGCCGCCGCCGCCAGCAGCAGCACCAGCAGCCCGCGCGCGCCCCTCGCCGCCGCCGACGTCGCAGCGATAGACTGCCCGCCGCGCGGACGCCCTCTCCCGCGCTCTCGCCGCCGCCGCTTCGCGCTCTCCACCCCCACCACCCTCCCCTTCCCTCGCCCCCCGCGCAAGCCGTCGCCCTCCATTCTGCGCCTGCTCCGCCCCGTCGGAGTGAATGAATGATCCGTTGGTGATTCCGGGCGGATGCCGTCAGGCCGTTAGTCCCGTATGTGTAGTGCATCTTTTCATCGCGGGAGGTAGTAGAGATCTTCCCCCGTTGGATGGCGATATCCGACCCCGACCTACTCGTCGCCCTGCGGGGTTTTGCCTCACCCAGGTATCTCCCACCAGCGGGGCACCGCACAAGCTCTAAGCTTTCGACTGGTCTCTCGGTGTGTGTGGTAGTGAAGTGCGTGTAAGTGTAAATGTGTATAATAGGACAAGGAAGAAGGAAAGGTCGCGCGCGGTTCGTGGCCCGTTTGTTAGGGCACTGCTCCGGCATTCGCTAGATGTTGATCGGAGAAACCACGAAAAACAATCAGAGCAGCCGGCAGGTAGAATTCTTCTCTAGACAGCGGCTGAATTTGACTTAGCTATGTAGCTAGTGTCGAACAACCTTCTCTCCTAGAGTATGTTGAGGATGGGAGTAATCTACCAAATATAGCCTAAAGGGTTTTTTTTTATTTTTTTAAATTTTCCGTTCGTAATTTATTTTTTGACCCAGTATATGCCTTTTTAATCCAATGGCTTGGGAGAAAATGGGGAAAAACTAGCTTGGAGGTATTGTTATATTACAAACGTATATTTAAAAGAAATAATATTGCTCCTATGTCAATGTGATATTTTTGTACAGGCGCTATATTTACAAAACACCAACATTTTTCAATAATCGATTATTTTGAGTGTATCAAACCAAAAGGTATAAAGATATAAAAATAGGATTAACCTCAAAACAGTTATTTTCTAACAAACGTTATCTTTAGTGTGTGTGTGTAATTCTTAATTGGTAATCTTTAATGGTTCTGACACTGCCAATAGTTAATCGGGGGCTGTCTAATCTTTTCGGTAGGGAAATGCAGTCACAAAAACCAAATTTCACTAACCTTATGCATATCAGAGTCTATTACTTAAGCTGTTGTATCGAGTCCATTCGTATCGGCGTTGACAATATTATTCTCTTCGGAATACGTGGACGTCGTTTTTGACTGTACAAACCTTCTAGAGATAACTTAGAATACGGCAACCGAGATGTACACAGAATGTAATTTTTTATGTTTGTTGATCTGTTGTTCGATCATTTGCTAGAATACCATTTTATTGTAGTGAGAAAGCCAGCATATAGGCTAAGTGAGTTTGGAATGCCCATTTTTTCGGATGTCAAAAATACCGATCATAAAGAAACTTCTTGCCTGCATGACGGATGCATGTAGTTCAACTCGTTATCCTTGAATCATTATAGACTGGAGAAAATGAATGTTGAATGAGAAGCAATAAAGGTGATGCTCGTAATCATAGTTCTTCCCTATGCGCAGAAGAGTTGACAGTAGTTACGTAATATCATTATCTTCTTCGGCATCTTCTTGTCCCTCGGGTATTATACCGGTTGATCGTTTGCGACTCAGTAATCAAAATGTCTTTTTAGGTTTAACAGTGGTGTGTAATTCGTTTGGAATTTGGTTCTGAGCGCTCAGCACTCTCATACAGTTCTTTAAGTGAATGTTTGACGGAAACAAACGACAGTTAGTTTTAGTCATTTTAATTAGTAATAAACCTTCACAGAGGTACGTAGTGCCGAACGTACCAACAATTTGTGCAGCCAATCCGTGGAGACGCAAGAACTTACTACTAGAAAAGTTAATTTAGTATTTTTCGATATTTTATCGATAGCAAAAATTCACAAACAAAAATGCGTTAATTGACGTGCCTCATGTCTTAAGATTTAATACATTGTTTTGTACGCTATCTTCATTCTTTATGCCCTGCAGACTGGCGTAATATTTTTGATGATGATGAAGTAAAGTAATGTCCCTGTATGTTTACTTCTTGATTTACAGCCACACTATGGCTCACTTAACTAAGTTTTAAGTCGTAATTATTATTTTTCTGAAAGAGACCGACTGTGATAGTTCAGAGCCAGTGTTACCATTGCCTCTGCAGCAATTTTGCAGCAGAACCTAAGGTTCGAGTCCCGACTGTGGCGTATTTGTCGACACTAGATAGATAGCTCCTCTCCCCTTAAACACACACTCTTATGTGAACTATTCTATCGCACGTCGGCAGCTTAGCCGGCGCGGGAATGATTCGGGGGTGGCATGGATAGGCAATTAAATTCGGGAGTGCGCATCTGGGGCTCGATACGGGGTTAGCAAGGATAGGAAATTGTCTCCGCTCGCCAATGTTGGGAACTCTAAGGAAATATCTATGTTTATTATGTATGGCCTTTACGTCCAAGTTGCTCTGGAGCGCGAATTTGTCCTCCCCATAGAATATCTGTGGCGTGGATGGAGAAATCTCGCGCAAGCCGACGTGGAGGTTAGGGGAGAGCGAAGAGTTAGGGGAGGAAGTGCCTTGACGAAGCCCTAGGCATTTTGACTAACGCAATGCACTCAACCACTCCGTTGAGCAGGGCTGAATTTATTATCATCTAAAGTAACTTTCTTCTCCAATTTTGGGTAATTGTTTTTCCCACCATATATGCGAGTAATTTAAGTGTTACGACTTCTGCTCCATTAAGCATTAGACCGACTGGTCCGATGCGACTTATTGATCAATCCATCTTTTGTGGCTCGGAGTGAATTCCGGAGCAGTACCACAGTATTCGTATTTTGTGGCAGTACTGTAAAAAGTGGGCCGCGGATCGCTTGCTTTTATCTGTCCTATCTTCTCCCCTTGATCTTACATTTACACGCACTGCACGTGCCCTTTTACAGGCACGACATGCCGGGAGCTTGTCCAGGCGTGGGCGGTGGCCCGCTGGGAGTAATGGGTTTGGGAATGGAACGGCGGTACAGTGTGAGTGAACGAAAAGAAGCAACCACGAAACTGAATGGAACGGCAGATCGCAGTAATTAATTGCTCAAGTTGTGATTCATTCTACGGTCAGTGATGCAGCCGATGTCCGCGATTGGGGTCACTGCCGTGAGAATGGGAGATGCTGGGAAGGAGAGAGGGAGGAGGTGCGTACCTTCGTGTACCCGCAGAGCACAAGTGATGGATGAGTTGCCTACCGTCCAGGGGCAAGGACGTCGAGGATGTGGAGTGTTTACAACGCCTCGCGACTGATGAAGTCAGCGACCACGTTTTCACTTATGGCAAGTAAGGTTGCAGGTGGTAGAAATGAGTGAGATATGAGGGATAAAGATGGTAGATTTAGCAATTGCTAAAAATGCGAAATGTTACCAAATGCTGAAAAAAATTGAATTTGTATGTTTGTTTAACGATCGATGCAGTATATTCTAAGGTTTCAGGTATATTTCAGGTTTTCAATCTGCAACAATACGTGAAATCGATCACAAAATGCGAAATCACGTACAACGTGCGAAATGGTCATAAATAATTGCAAAATTTTCATTTTATGGTTTCCTTCATGTTAGCACGCTAAATAGGGATGCGACATCGACAACAACAGATCAATATTTGAAAACATTTAATTTGAGTTAAACTACGCGTACAGGAAAGTAAAAATCGATTGACAACAAAACATCTGTCCGTCCATCCCTCTGTGAACACCACTAGCGCCTAAACAAAACGTACGATGTTTTCAAAATTGAAGAAACTCCTATCGATCTGGCTCAAATCGAAGCTTTGAGATATTGAAGAACATTCTTTAAAATTTGGATGTACTTTACACGAAGTTCCTGAAACATTTTCAAAATTTTCTCAAAAACGACTCCATAATTTTTTCTTTAAATTTCTTGTACGAAGTGAGCAAAATAAACTTATAAATGTGACCTGGGTCCAATTTTCACTGTTAACTCTGAATTTTCGAAAATTTTGGAAGTTTGAATTTTTTCGACGTCTTTCTACAATTATAGAATTTATGTTCAAATAAAATTTGTTCTCCGTATTTAGTTCTTTCATTAAAGCAATGTACGTTTTTTTAATGTTGCGTGCAATATGTGCAATTCTAAAAAACAAGAAAAACAAGATTTTCTCAAAACGGCTCCAACTTTTTTCTTTAAACTTTTGGTAGAGGTAGTATTAAATGTACTCGATAAGATGACATAAACGCCACATTACTGAATTCTTTTGTTTTTCAAAAATTACAAAACGATTGGCTCGTCTCTCATGTAGTTAGTATTTACAGTAGCGACGATTTTTTTCAAATTACTGTATTTATGAGTATATGTTCTTTAAATATCGTTAGATAAAGTTTTTCGAAAACAACAGTTTTTGTGAAAATGAGCTCAAAATTACGCATTTTCAGAATCGCTCAAACGCCATTTTCTCTAACATAACTCCATTTTTTCTTTAAACCTTTCTAATGATTAGTGCTAATTACACTGTTCAATATAACATAAAGGTCCTTTTGCTGTATACTTTTTTCTTAAAAAATTGCACTTTTTTTAAACATCTCTCACGCCGTTAATATTCACATTTCCAGCAATTGCAACACTATTGCATTTGCTAATAAAATTGCTTCAAATGACTTGCAGTGAAGTTTTTGGGAAATTCAGAAATTTTCTGAGAAAAAGAGCTTCAAATTTCGCGTTTACAGAACTGTTTAAACGCAATTTTCTTAAAAACCACTTTAAATTTTTCATTGAAAATTGCCATTTAAGATGAGTTTTTTACACTTTTTAATATCCTTAAAATAATATATCCATTCTAATATTAGTAAAACGAAAAATTGAGAAAATTCAAGAAAGTGTACTTTGGGCGCCGACAGATGGCAGCTGGCAAAAGTATGCGGCAAGACCGAAAAGCTAGGCCAGCCCAAAGAAATTAGAAAACTAACTAATACGAGAACGTCTGTGCCATTCTGTAGCATCACTAGTTTCTTAATGAAATGTGTTCCTCCAAAAACATCTTCAGATAGGGTCATGTTGAATTTTACGAAAATATGAGTATTTTTTGAGTAATTTAGCGACAAAAATAGACGACCGCCCCAATTTACTACGCTTCCTGAACGTAAAATGAATAGTGGTGCTAAGCAGTTGGATGCTAGGTAAGTTAGAATTTGTATAATTTTTTATATTTCTTTGTTCATTTTTTCTTCAAGCTTTTGTTATGTTTTAAAATTAATCTGTTAGAAATTATCTAAAACATTTTTAAATTACGTCCTTTTATTGAATCTTTTATTTCAGAAATCCGTCAAATGTCAAATTCCTCATTTCGAGAAAACTGAGAATAAGTCTCCCAATTTTTCAGATCAAAATATTTTTTTTGATTAAAGGAGTTGCTAAAAGAATATTTTTCATATAAATATGCACTCAATGATGTGTCTATCCCCCTGGAACAATAATCCGTCGCTAAAGCGTGTTTTGTATTTTGGCGTTTGACATGTTTCCGAAATAAACGATTCAACTGAGTTAAATGCGAAGATGATTAGATGATTTCTCTTTGCTTATTAAGATGTGTAAATAAAAGTAATGCATGTAAAACCCAGTAATTTTGATGTATAAAAAATAATCTATTTTATTATTATATTTTTTATTTTCATTTTCTTTCTAGCAGTGTCAAGAATGCTAATTGGCAAAATGTGTATCCCATGCAAATTAGCCGTCATTGTTGCTGGTAACCCATTGTTATAACGCCATACTGATAACAGAAGGTCATAATGACTACTGCATTTTCTTTCTTTCACATTAATATAAAATAATATTATTTACGAAAAAAATATGCATCGTGAATCGTTGGTATCCGCGTACTTTTCGCACAATTTTCCTTGAAGATACGGGAGAAAAAGTAGCACTAGTTTCTTTACATTTCTCGAAAAAATAGAGTAAAATGTCCTTATAATGATGGCGTATGTGTAAATTTCACTAGTATCTCTAAATTTTCGAAAATAGCAAAAGTGCGGAATTTGTTCGGCCTCGCTCTACAAAATATAGAAGATAGAGTTGTTTTATTTTCTCTATTTACTTCGTTCACGTAGCAAAGTAAAGTAAGTTAATGTATTGATGCTGCAAATATCGGCGATTTTTTCTACAGATTAAATTCGTATTGTCATGCCCCGGTAATGCATAAATTGAAAAATCTTGTTCCGATATCGAGTAAATAACCTCCTTTAACACGTGTAGTCAGAATCCAAATTTTGTAGGCCCATGAAACCGAAAAATAGGTTGTTGGCAAAACGTCCGCCTGGCAGTCCGACCATTTGTGTTCAATGCTCGCTCCTAAATCGTTCAGACGACGTTCTCTCAAATTTATATTTCCCATTCGATCTAAACGAATTTTCAGGCCTGTGAGTTAGAAATGTATATTTTGATTTGGGGGGATTCTTTACATAAAGTCTCATTTTTTTTCCAAAAATGACTCCAATTTTTAAAATTAACGTTTTCCCCGAATAGCGTAAAGAAAGCTTAAAAAAGGATGCAGGTCTCGCTTTCTTTGAAATCTCTCAATTTTCGGAAACTGAAAGAGTTCAAAAAACGTTAGTTCGATACACCCTAAAATTGCTGCGTAATGAACAGTGAATCGGCTGGCTGTTCCCTCGTAAACGGGCCAGTGTGCTTGTATACAGTATACTCCATTAACTTCCGCGACCTCTTCGCGACGCAATGGAAGGCGTGGCCGGGCCGGGGCTGGGGCAGAGGGAGGGTCTGGAAGGTCGTAGCCACGCCCGCGCACGCCCAGCCTGGCGTTTGGGCGGCGGGCCGGACGGGCCGGGCGGTCGGGTAGGCGGCCTTGCAAACGCTGCGACCTGTCCCCCTTGCCCCCCTCTCACAACCACGCCGCTGCACGGTGCACACAGAAGGCGGAAAACAAATTAGGCTAGGCTACGCTTTGATAGGAAAAATTAAAGCAGCCATTCGCAAATCAGAAAAATCCAGTCATGGCATATCTCAACAAAAATATTGTAATAGAGGAACTGGTTATTATGAGTAGTGTGTAGTACTTGTTTTAAGTCACTCTCAATTTTTACTTTCTCGCTCGCACTCCAGCGGTAGAGAGAGAGTTATGTAATGCTGTGCAAAAAACTGTCATTTTTTAAAATAAAATGTGCATTCAGAAAGAGACATATTTATGAAGATAATATATTTATTATCTAGAATAATCAGCTCAATTTACCTTTGAGCGAGAAATCGAGACCGATGGCAACTTCCGATGTTTACCACTCATTTTCTGCTCGTTACGCGAATGGAAAACTCTCTTCACTGAATATGAATTTCACTTATGCCACATGGTTACTCTTCCTCCTTTGCCGAGTAACAAATTACCTGTTTGTTTAAAATTTGTACGTAAAAGCACTTTTTAGGAAGATGTGTAGAATGAGACCTAGATCAACATATTTCAACTGAAGGTGACTATATATTGACAGGGACTTGTGCATCGAATCCAAGGGTGAGGGATGTGAACTCTTGTTTTTACTTTTCCATCAATAAAAAGAAATAATTTTTCTTAATGGGGTAACTATAAATTAATATTTGTTCAGGGTCAATGATTCTATAGCATACACCATAATTTGACTTATTAAGTAACTTATTAAAAGGTAACTTATTAAAAATATTAAATTAAAATGATTTTAAATTCAAAAGAGAAGGAAACATTTGTTCATAATAATAAAAAACCTTCCATAATATTGTTTTTAATTAAAACAGTAATGAAAAATTCAGTTGACATCACAATTTTCAATAAAGATACCTATGTACTAGCAGAATGCAGTGTCGTCGATGCTGTAAACTGTTTTAAAAGTATTTTCATGTGTTGAAAATTTGTGTCATACACCATACACAGCTTTGTTCAAATAAGTTCTTACAATCTCTTGCATTGGACATACCAATAAATCTAAGTAGCTATAATGTTAAATGATAATGTGATGATGATAATGTTAAACTTCTATTCAAAAATTCTCAACACCCAATGTCTTTGAATGTTTCATCTATACAGGAATATTAAAAAAATTAAAAATGAGTGTTTCTCTAAAAGAGAACCTTTTTTAAAAATTTCTTCATGAATATTGCTAAATTCAAAGAAACAAAAACAAACAAAAAAACATCTCAATCAGGTTTTCGTCCAGTTTCTCTGATCCTCGAGCAAATGCTGAGATGGCCCCTTGTTTTGTTAATGGGCATAAATGTAACTTCAAATTAACTTCTCCCCATAGAACGTCACACACAGTTTTTAACTGTTTTTGACATAAATAAATAAATAACATGACATGACATAACCGCCAGTTTAATGTATTATTTTGTTGTTGTTTTTTAAAACTTATATAAATGTAACTTTTGATCTGTCTCTCTGTCATTAATATTTATGTTACGGCGGTTTTAAAAATGTTATTGCATTTGTGAGTAAAAGTGCTTCTTATGAAGTCTCCGAAAACTTTATTTTTTTGTGAAAATGAACTCAAAATTGAGGTATTTTCAGGAAAACTCACCGGAATTTTTTGAAAAACAGCTCCAAAACATGCCTGTAGTAAATGATCCACTACTTTATAATTTCCGCGGAAAAAATAGAGTGACAGGTTTCCAGGTTAAAAGTATGTTGTTGAAAAAGTTCAATAGTCTCTTGTAGCTGTACTTATCCATGATGTCTCCCTGGAGTGTAAAAAAAAGTGAATGTAAATACACAGATTTTATTAGACATTACAATATTTTCACTTTTGTTTGTTTTTATTCTGGTTTCTTGAATCCTCTAAGGAGTGGTGCTTCAACACTATGAAATAAAGTTGGTTAACCTGGGACGAATAATGTCTACTGTCTACTACTTTTTCACAATATGGCGCCGCTCAGAGCATGCTAGGCTTCGCCAACCATGTGTTTTAACTGAGGTTAAAGAACACGTGTTTCGTGTGTTTACTCTCGAAGTAGTGGATGGAATAAACTTGTTAGAGTGAATTGGTACAATTTTCGATAGTCAAGATGGGAAAGATGAAGAAAAAGGTGAGTGGGAAATTCTCTTCAAGTAATCAAGACCATATTCAAGTAATGTAAATTATTGTAATAACCTTATATATCAATTTTATTGCAGTATGAGTCCGGAGAAGGAGCTCGTTACATCACAAGAAATCGAGCATTAAAATATCTTCAACTAACTTTAAAAGATTTCAGAAGGCTCTGCATTTTGAAAGGAATTTATCCCAGAGAACCCAAAAATAGAAAGAGGGCTCAAAAGGGAGACACAAGTATTAGAACATTGTATTACAAAAAAGACATACAGTTTCTGTCACACGAACCAAATATTTGGAAGTTGCGTGAATTAAAGGTAAGTATCGAAATTCTGTAATATGATTTCATATGTTTGTTATTTCTGAGTGTGATCAATCTATCCATGGAAAATATCTCATCAATTGATTTTTTACAGGTTATATACAAAAAAATGTGTAGAGCAAAATCTCTTAAAGAAAAGGATGATGTAGCAAAATACAGAGATCGAATACCACTCCTGAAGTTGGATCATATAGTGAAAGAAAGATATCCTACATTTATTGATGCATTGAGGGATTTGGATGATTGTTTGACATTACTCTTTTTGTTTGCTGCATTTCCAAAGACAGGAAAAGTTCCAGAGAAATACGTTACTTTCAGTAGACGTTTGACAGTTGAGTTCATGCACTATGTCATTGCAGCAAAGGCACTACGGAAAGTGTTCATATCTATTAAAGGATATTACTTTCAAGCAGAAATAAAAGGACAGAGTGTGACATGGATTGTTCCTCATCAATTTGTGATTGATGTAAGAGATTTATTGATATAATGAATTATAATATTTTGTTTTGAAGTTCTAATTATTTTTGTTCTTTGTATTTTCAGAGGGGTCATTATATGGATGTAGATTTTCAAGTTATGTTGAATTTTGTTGACTTCTACCAAGTTTTGCTTGGATTTGTGAATTTCAGATTGTATCATTCATTAAATATGACTTATCCTCCCACATTTCCTGGATACTCAGGTAAATAGCATTTAAAAAAGAAAAAAGTTTTATGTTTTAAGTTAAGACTGGATTTTGTACAATAAAACTATTAAAAGTGCCGTAAAAACACCAAAGTGCAAAATTGTGCAATAAAAATTAAAAAACTTTGCAAAACTGTATTATGAAGCTCAAAACTCCAGTTAATCCACTTATCAACTCCTTTTATACTTAAGGTGTGAAATTTAAGGTAAAAGAAATATTATGATTTTATTGTTTTATTTAAATTAAGTTTGTACATATGTTTTTAACAAATCATTTTTATATTTTAATTATTATTCCCTTACAAAATTAAATCAGCATAAAAGTACAAAAAAGTAAATACAAAATATCTTCGAAATATGCAAAAATTGTTCTTAATTTAGCTGAAGTCTACTGTACGGTACAAGTTACGGAAGTCGTTTAAACCAGTACTTCACGCTGCTCCGGCATTAACTGGGCAGTTTGAATTTTGGAGGCTTTCTTGAAAAGTGATTTCTTATAAAAGTGAATTGGTAATTATGTGGTGGATAGACTCAAGAATGTCTATAGTGAATGCGAGGCCCATAGGGCCGACCCTCGCGGTGTCTTGGATTCAGGCGAGTGAAGCGAGAAAACTTGCCTTTGAAAGTAAATTGATATTACAATGCGGCGGGGACAAAGCATGCGAAGGGGGAACCATGAAAATCGCCTATATGTAAGTTTTATTCATTTCTATCAGAGCACTTAGTAATTAGAGCTTACGGAGACCCCCCCGCCTCGCATCTGAGGGAGTACCGTGTACCATATTTTAATCCTTAATTTATTTCATTGAACTTTACAAATATTCACATTTCCTTATTATTTTCTGTGTTCATTATTTCCAAATTATATCTTGTATCATCTAATATGTTTCAGACAGGAAACACTTCATTCTATATTTACTTCTAAATGAGTATTTCTTGTAAGAGTTTAAAGTGATAGGTGTAAATTCACATATTTTCTATTTAAAGCCTTGTTATCATTTAATAATATCTTATAGCCTGGATTTTGTTCCAATACAGCTATGTATGGGGTCTATCTTCCCAATTGGATCATAAATCTGTTTCGTATACCTGAATGTATCATTCGCTGAGCATCCGCACACAATTCGTAACATTGCGTATCCCCACTCCCAACTGCAATTGGTCAGACATTTTAATTAGACAATAGGCATAATGAGAGTTACAGTTGCTCAGTTCATAGGGCAACAAAATCTAAAATTAATACATATTAAACAGCATTAAGGTGTCACAGGCCAACTAAATGCAGTACCGGGTTGAGTCATATAAACGTTTTTCTTAAATGAAACCTTTAATAAACGTAAATTAATGCAAGTTTATAATATAAGATTCAATTTTATGCAATGAAACTATACATCTCACAAATTCATTTTGTATAATCCCAAAATCAGCTATTTTCAAGCATCATTGCCCAAATTCATGCAAAATAAAATGTTCTAAAATAACATCCGTTTCATAATTCAAATTTCTATCAATGTTTTGTCCAATTTTGAAAGAAAGCAAAGAAAATATTTGGTTTAATAGAAAACTGGTCTTTAGTTATAAGTTGAATTCCAGTTGTAAGAATGAAGAAAAAATTAAATTTTTATTTAATTTGTCCTTTTGCCCTTTTTTTCTTCCAGCTGTTGATTCAGAGAAAAACATAGTGGATGAGGAGGTGTATGCTTCTGAACGTATTGCTTCCTTGAATGTAGATCTGGCACGGGTGGGGGGATCTGTGGGTGAAGATGAGGACGAAGGAATAGATGAATTTCCAATGGTAAGTTATGCAATGTTAGAACTGTTCAGGAAAATAGGTGCCCCCCTGCAGAGACATCAAGGTGATAAAAATACATTTCTAAGAGTAGTAATAAGCTGAAGAGACTTCCATTGTTCAGTACTATTTCCTTTAAAAGAAATTATCTTAGAAGTGAGGAAGTTCATAAAACAGTATGAATGCTAGAGCAAGGGCAGAGGTTCAATCCAGGGCTCAGAAGAGCCTCACAAGCTCATCAAGTTGGATAGCAACATGCGATAGTGTCACAGACTATTTGGTGTCAAAATACATAGAAAATGGCATCTGACATTGAGTATGTAGGTATCAATTTGTATGGTGACAGGTAACCATATGTAATCATGGAGATTTATACCTAAAAAAGGGTGTTGTATTTGGGGGCAGCTATTCTCCTGATCTAAGAAAGAGATTTGTTTCTTTTGTTTTTATATTTTGTTGTAATTGGTTTGTGCCTGGAATGTAAAATGTAATGTTGGCTGTTTTTTGCTTAATGAAGTATGATAATACATAACATTGTTTTTCTGCATATATTTGTGAAATAGCATAATCTTTGTTACTCTATGTTTCTTAACCTTTTGTCAATGAACTAACATTCAATGTGGTGATGTTCAACACGTGTAAGTCTCAGTGATAGGTGGCATGTATTTACCGCCACAGTGTTTCTCTTTCTTTCTCTCTATCTCTCCCTCTCAATCCCCCCCTCTCTCTCTCTCTTTCTCTCTCTTTCTACCTTCCTCTCTCTGCTGCGGGGAAATCTTTGTTTTGTGTTCTGATATAAAATTGCATTCACGCTGCAATGTTGGAACTTAACTTCACATGTCTACAGCTTGCAGTAGTAACATTCTCCATTTTGGTGAAGTTCTTAAAACTCTTTAAGTATTTTGTGTATGTGTATTTTGTCTTTAACTATCTGTTGTATTAATAAATATTTACATTTTATATAATATTTCATGTTCTTATGTTATTTTTTCTGATGTGATTTTGCCTAGCCTCTGTTTATTTGATAAAGAGAGTGGTCAGACCATTTTTATTCGAAAAGGACTGTAGTTACTCAATAAGCTCGCTTCTTTTCACTGCTGGCCATATCTTTGGTCATAACACATGGTTCAAACTTGGAGAGAAATTTTTCTTGACAAATTTCAAGTCTTATCCAAATGTAGCTTCTGAAATAATGAACATATATAAAGTTGATTTAGTTGTAACGATATGTTATTGTGCAAAATTGCCCTAAATACTTTAATTATGTTTTGATTGGCAGATTGAAGATCAAGAGCAGTTGGAGGAGTTAAAGAAAAAAGCTGAGAAGGTGAAGACACAAAAAAGACTCTTCAAAGGATTAAAAATTTTCATCAATCGAGAAGTTCCCAGGGAACCGTTAGTGTTTGTCATTCGATGTTTAGGTGGGCAAGTGTCTTGGTCTAAAACAACGTTCATAGGTGCTACTTTTGATGAAAGTGATGAAACAATCACTCATCAAATTGTGGATAGACCAATGGTTGACAAGCAGTATATTTCAAGGTGAGATTTTATTATTAATAATACTTTTATGCCAAAGAACTTTCATTATAATAAAAGAAAATGAAAGACTCTTACTATTCTCAATTTAGCATAGATAGCAAGAGTTTTTGTGTTCTTTTATTTATATATCAGCTGACAGTGTACTTCTGTGTCCTCTTCGTAGTCAGTTTTGATACATGTCCTCTTAGTTGAGGGTTTTGATTCTACATGTAACCTTGGGGACGTTAGATTGAGCCTGAGATTGGTAATTACAAATGTTTCTAGGTGATCTCCATGTTGTCTCCTGTCAAAAATGAGTGAAGATTAAGTGACCAGAGTCTTCCCTTGCACATCATCTGTCTTTTTATCTCATTATGTACTTCAGAAACTCTTTTGACCTTTTTAGTCCATGCAAAAGTAGGGTGTGGGCATATGCTAAATGTGGTGAATTGTTTAGAATATGCCCGTTTAGAACATTTGTTTCACAAGGCCTTTTTTAAAAAATTCAAGGGTATTGTTTTGAAATGTTTTTCAGATCATAAAGAGTGTATTATTTGCTTTTCTAGATATTTTTGTGATATGTGATTGTTTCAAATCAAGAAATAGTCACTCTGAGCAGTGAGGGCCCGCCCACAAAACTTTTATCTGGGGCCCCTTTATAAAAGTGTAAAGCAGACCATTAGTGTTAGTACCTTAAATAATAAAAATATACTTTAACAAATTCATATTCATCACTCTATGATTACTACGTGAGCAAATGCAAAACCTTCAGCCTCAATATAGGCCTCTTTTACCTGGGACCATGTGCATTGAAGCCTTGTGGGCTCGAACGTTACACCACGGATTTTTCATTCCTGTACGAAGTATTGCACATTTATTGCTATTCACATTCAGTAGCTAGGCTCTCGTCCAGCTGTTACGAAGATTAATGTCAAGTTGAAGATCAAGAATGTTGAGATTCCCTTTTAGATTAGTATTGGCAATAAATATCCTATTCCTGGTAGGTTAAGAGGTAAATTGTGTATAGAAAAAAGAGAACAAGGGTCTAACATAGTACTTCACTACAACCAATGTGTTATAAGTAGGTCCATGCAACGAGGTTTCCTCTTATTTCTAGATGTTTGAGTTTATATTGTAGTTTCTACTGCAAGATGATCAAATGCTTTTTCAAAGTCAATGTAAATGGTACTTGCTATCTTTAAAATAATATAATTCTAAAATGGTTAGTAAAAGAAATACTCAATTGAAAATTCTATAATTTATAGTAACCTAATACTTTTAATAGTAAAGGTCCATTCCCAATACAGACATAAGCATAGCATTAACATAAACGTTAGGACTACATCCATAAGCAGACTCATTCACAATGCATTCGCATAAGCATAACATATAAGACATGAACTTAAAAGCTTGCAAGCTTCTGTGCTTATGCTTAAGTAAGATTAAGCTTTTTTTTTTTTTTTGTAATCAATGATCTTTCTTTTTTAACATTTTTTGACTAGTACTCTTTTAACGTAACCCTGTAGATGTATCCACCTCCAATTAATAGTCATCTCGTGGCTCAAGAGTGAAGTCACTAGCCTTTCACCAAGGAGGTCCAGGTTCGATTCCCGGACAATCTCATGTGAAATTTGTTTCAAACAAACAAATTTGGCTGCTTCATAAGGGCTAATCCAACCCTCTATGAAGTGCCCTAAATCCTACCCCTACCCTAATTCCTTCCCAATTCTGGCCGCTGGGTAGTGACGCAGGAGTCCGTGGTAGGAGGCACGTATGCCGAGAAGCTACCTGGCAGTCCTCTTGACAACTGACTACAAAGAGACGTGACATATGACATACTAGTAAAGGAGAATTACTCCTAATAAGCGCACCAATTAATGAATGATTACTCCAAGTGCAAAGGGTTTGGAACAGAGTTGCATCTATATAGACACAGCTTTAAGGGAAAAAAATAGAAGTTATTAAAACTGTTTCAGGACTGTTACATTCCTATCAAGTACTAGAGGTAACTCATCGAAAAAAACAGAAACGAAAGGATGTGAATTATTACAAAAGCACAATATTTACAAAATGCAATGTGGGTGGTTTTCTTTCTTGTAAGTTTTCTTTTGTTATAAATTATTCTCCACTAAATTGGTCCGAGAAACACTAATTAACAAACACTTTTTTTACTCTGGGGTGGGTTACATAAAGTTTAAATAAATTTTTTTCCTTTTTAAATAAATAAATTTTAAAAAAAAAGTTGACCATGGACAAAGTAGGGTTTTAAAGAATACACCCACTTGTGGAAAGATTGGCCCCACCATACAAAATCAAAATAGCCTCCAATCTAAATAAATTTAGGAAAGCCACCTGATGTTGCTCTTATTTTACAAATAGCCCAATCCCCCAAACCCTTTTCCTCACCTCGCACTCTCTTCGACTACCAAATTGCAAGCTGCTAAAACTGATGAATTGGGCTGCCAGATGTCATTCTGATAGCACCAAATTTTGTGGTCAAACTTTGGTCAACAATCAAACTTTGCAAACAAGCTCAAACTTTGATACAACAAAGGGGGCGGTGGAAATTGTAATGGACATCAGAAGTTAAGAATATTAATGTACTGTCATTATCAATTTTAGGACTTGATTCTAAGACTTTTTCACTATGGTGTACCAAAAAATACTTTAAAGGTTTATACTGCCATAATTTATTATGATTCAGAGATGACGGAAGAAATAGCAATGCCTAGACCATGTGTAATTTGATATTGACTGCTTTAGGTACTATGTGCAGCCTCAATGGGTATTTGATTCAGTTAATGCATGTGAGCTGCTGCCTGTGGAGAAGTACTTCATAGGGGCTGTGTTGCCTCCTCACCTGTCTCCATTCCAATCAGAGCACAAATTGGACCAATACATGCCACCGGAAGAACTTGCACTTCAGGATCCTGAAATTGCCAAGCAGTTAGGTGAGACTTTGGGCCACTGCCCTTCCATTTTTGTAAACATATATAGATGTAGGTAATACCAGGAGTGCATTGGAAATTTCCAATAAATTCCATAGTCACATAGTGATGAGGGAATTTACCTGCAAATTTTTAATGTATGAGACTTAAACATTTTTTAAAATTTCTTGTAACAGTGTTCCACAAATGAAATTACCTACAAAAATGGTTCGAAATGCACCAAATATTAAATATATTGTTTGTGCACAAGGGAGCACTTTCGACAATTGATGTATAACACCTTATGATTGTCCAACAGGTGGTGGTAAGAAAAAGCAATAATTTTTTCGGGGTACACATCTTAATTGATGCATACCAGATTAATAGTTCAATGCTTTTGGAGTTAATTTCCTAAGTGGAATATTCATGTAAAACATGAGTTTAATAAATTGTCCAAATCTGGCCTTGAAGCTTGCTTATTTATCAAAGACTGCAGAAGGAACTCTTGTGTTTTTTTAGTTCAGAGCAGTATTTCAAAATTTACTCTTAGTTGTGTAACGTTTTATGCATTTCTTGTTGTAAAGGTCATAATTATTTCAAATTCATTTCTTCTGAAATTCGGTACTGTTAGGAAAACACTAAGTTTACAGTTTCATCTATTGCAGCAAGTATCTTCTTTTTTTTTTTTTGCTGATGTGGGGCGTGACAATTTTGCCCAGTCATCACTAGACCTGCCCATAGTCTTTCTGAAGCCAATGCACGAGTTCAAATTGCTGAAAACCTGGCCAAAAAATGACAGTATATCATGATTTGCTTGACAAATTTATGCTAGTGTTTGTTGGTTAATAATATCAAGCTACATATTTGAAAAACAAATTTGTGACACTTCAGATACACTGGGCAGTGCAGTCTAGTGAGGGCCATGCGAAACTGATAATGCCTCGCCCCTGTATTTTGTGTAGTGTTCTTCTGTTTTATTTCTATTCCTTTGACTTCTTGGCCTTCTTTTTACTCCTCCTCAACTTTCTTATCCTACTCTAACTGCTATATACTTAGAAAAAATTGTGTAATGTTGCTAGGAAAAGTGCGAAAAAAACATTTTCTGGGCACAAACTTGAGAAGCATGCCAGAATATCAACCTTTTTTCAGTTCCTTTTTATTTTTAATAAAGTGATTTTATTTTGTGGATTTATTTTAATTGTGTTTGAGATATACAAAAATTGCTCTAATTGTTTGCAGTGCAGAATAATTTTTGCCAGAATAGATTTCAGTTTTAAATGTTATAAATTATGCCATGTCGTTCTGCATAGCACGAATGTTTTTCAATTCTTCATTGACTCGTGAATAGAACTTTACTTGTTGTTAATAATTGTGTCAATTGTTTTAATAATTTTTACAAAAGGGATCTGCATCAAAAGTAGCAGTTAAATTTGACGCTCCATTTTTGAAATTTCTGTTGTCTTTTGTTCTTGTTTATTTAAGGAAATATTGTGTATTATTTGTTGTATTCATTGTATATTAGCATACTAGAGGTTTGTGATTTGATATTCTGCTCTTTCAGATGAAGTATCTGGTGATGAAAGTTCTGAGCCTGGTGAAGATGATATTGAAGGTGGTAGTTGTGATGAAGATGATGGGGAGGTGGAGTCTGATCAGGAAAGTGATGAGAAAATGAAACAGAATGTGGAGGATGTTGAAGAAGGAATGGATGAACTGGAGAAAGAAAGGCAGAGAAAGGTAAAATGTTCTTTTTAAATTGTTCACCAATTTTTTCGGTCACTTTAGAATTCTTGGTAAACTAAAATAGCACAAAGTTACTTGAATTATTAGTATCAGAGTAGATATCATTATATTGCACCTACTAATCTATCTCTTTGGCCATAACTCAAAATTACTATTATTTAAAAGAAATCTATAACTTTAATATTGGAGGAGAACGGATTTAAAAAATAAAATAAAAAAAAACAAAACAGGTTTCTTTTAATATAGGATCTGTGTCATAATATGAGTTTTTGTTGTGTTAGACCCAAAAAGTTGTAAAGAAAGAAATTGGAGTCCTTATTTAATAAATATTTTTTTAAACTTGCTATACTTTTTCCACAGCGACTCTTATGGGCCATTCACAATGCAAACATACGCATAAACATAACTCACAGATGTAAATATTAACATAAGTGATAGACTGAAGTGTTGACAATGTCTGACATAAATTTACTCAAAATAAGATTTTCTGTTGGCCGCGAGACATTCTAGTTTACTATAGGTTTGATGTGAGAATGTGTCCATGGCCCTTGGGTTCTATTTAAACAAGTGGCAGAGACAAATATGATGGTGTGTGAGTTCTCTGTGACAAGTGTGAAGCTATACAGTATACTTCTGTAGTATTCTTTGATCTTTTCTGTGTCTAATGCCATCTAGAGCAGTTCTAATGGCATTGTGTGTTACCTCCATAGGGGATATGAACTGGTCTTACTGCAATTTCAAAATTATAATTGCTGTAGCAAATACTTGCAGGTTGTGATGCTAATAGTTTAATTTTGTTACAGCTACATTTTTAAGCTTTTTTGGTAATATACACAAAAATGCACATAATTTTCAATTAGTTCCGAAAATCCTGTTGCAATATCTTTTACAACTGTGTTTGAATCTTTCCCGAATTTCATGAACACTTCCATAATTTTCTCCCCTAATTTTTGAAAAGATTGAAACTTCACAAACCCATTTGTGTTCACTTCTACTTCTGCAATTGCTCTATTAATCGTTTTGTACATGAATCTAGCACTGCATGCAAATCTAACATTAAAAGGTGACTGTTTTGTATGATTATGTGAATAAGGTGTTAGTTAAGTTTAACAAACAAGGTGCAGGACACATTCACTTGAAAATCTGAATTTGCATACTTATGTAAGAACTTAAAAGTGAGACGTCGAACATAATGTTCATTCATTCTCTAGCATTATTCAGTTTTGTTTTTTTCTGTATTCACTTGAAATTCTTAGTTTTATAAGTTCTGAGGCAATACTATTCGTAGGTTTTTGCAAATTTATTTTTTAAATGCGCTAATTCGAATCTAAATTAAAATCAATCTGCATTGCGATTTATTTGGTAATTCTCCCTCTTCCCTCTCCACTCAGAACTTAAGCTCGCTCCCTACAGTGCTGATTCAGAGCTTCCTTGTATATTCTGAAATCTGAAATTAATTGGTCTTCTTAATTAAAGTTGTCTGAAATTAAATAGTTGCATTACTGAGAGACTGGGGTTCACCATTGCCACCAATTGTATATTTATTTAAACTAAAATATTCAACCAGTGTTTTAATGTAAGGGTACTGTGTGCTACCTTTGATGTCTGTTAAAGTAAAATAAGTAAATAAAAAGCCTAACCACTGACACCATATTCATCGCAGTAAACATTTCATTTATTTGATTAAAAAATGTTAACATTTGAAATTATATATGTTTGATGTAATGCACCTGAGTGGGTGAGTGGTTAGCTCACTGGCCTCTGAACTGTGGGTTCAATCTCATCTGAAGCCCATGGATTTTCGAAGAGCAGAAAATCCTACGTGGCTGTGACATTCTTGTGGCATGTAAAAGAACTCTGACAAATGGTTGGCAAAATTAAATCCCTGTGGCAATTTCTCGTCCTAACGTGTTCTCAAGTTTCTCAACCAGAGAGCTGGGACATTGTTACCTGTGACATCTGGTGGAGAAAATGCTCATGGCGAATAACTGCCAAAAAAAGGTTCCCTTACACCCGCACCAGATGTAGGTATCAAGGGAAGCCTGAGTTGACTACGCAGGACTATGGCTAATGACCAAATGATACATAACAAACAATAAGTGAACATTTGGCATTAAAAATTCAAGGTCTTACTTTATTCATATTAAAAAATGCATTGATGCTTGGATTAGTTTTTTAGTGTGGAGTGATATTCAGTAAGTTCACAAATAATATTTCCATATCCTGCAATATAAGTAGTTTGACTTGTTAGAGAAATACAAAAAAAAATCTAGGTTTTAAATAATTATTGTTGATAATTTACACATATTTTACGTATTTCAATGTGTGATGGTGTGGGTTTTTTCATGTAATTTATTTTCCAGACATCCATGAATTTTTGTTAATAAAATTAGTTATGAAATGTTTGTCAAATTATGACTTAACTAACTTTGAGTATTTTTTAACAGAAAAACATGATGAGTGTAAAAGCTGGTAAAGTAGTCCCTGCAGATCCGTATGCGAGCAAGAAACAGGAAAGAGAAGATTATAAATTACGTGTTACCATGATCAGAAATAAACATCGAAAATTGTATCACAGTATGGTTAAAGGACAAAAGAAACGGAAGACCGAAGCATGGTTACTTCGCAAAAAACGTACAAGATACGAGGAAGAACAGAGTCAGAAACGCAAGGAGCAAAGGAGAGAGCAGATACTTGCACAAGCAGAGGCTTCATAAGACTGTACAGGTATTAGAAATACAGTGTAAAGTAATATATTTTTAATTTGATTGTCGTAAATATAAATCATTGTATTTGTAGCAAATAGTTTCTTCTTTTAAGAGATTATACAGATTATTTCTTTGAATTTGCCTTTCATTAATTCTTTCCAAGGGAAGGTCAATATAAATATATTTGCAATGATTTTAAGAAAGACCTCTTTCTAAACAATGTTTGCAGCTGAGAATTACTCAAATGTTACTGTGCAAGTGTAAATGTTTGTTGACTGCTGGAACAATTTTGATATGCCATGTGTCTTTTGTTAAACCCTGCTATTTTTAATTGGTGTGTCATAGTCTAATTTGCAGTGGTGTAAAAATCTGTAAATTGCTAATAAAAACTTGGAAAAATCATTTTATTATGTATTAATTATATATTTTGTATAATATACTTTGAAAATGTAGAGAGATGTTAAGAAATTTTATAACCCTTTGGTATGATTGTGTAATAAAAGGTACAGAATTCAGCGAGTTCATTCAGGATTTTAATTGAAAGGGAAGAGATTTTCTATCAATTGTTTTTCTTGGTCTCTCAACAAACAAAACTATTGTTTTGTACAGTAGCGTAATCATAGACGATTAATTATAAATATTATAACAATAACTTTCAACCCTGCCATTTTAATGGCGAGTCCCTGTGAACTAGTTGCGTTATTTTAAACATAGGATAATAAAATGCGTACAGAAAACTTAGACACGTTTTTTTAATGATGCTCTTACTTTTTCTCTAAATAGTATATTAAAAAATTTTAAATTGGCTTATTTTCTTTAAAAAAATTTTCAACTTCCTAATATGGAACTTTTTGAGAAATAATTATACTCTATTGCAGACACTATGTAGAAGTGGTTTCCTATTACAGTGAAAGAAAACCACCTATAACAGCATACTTGTACATTGAATTTTTAATAGTGTACATTCTATCACATATAAAAATACTGGTATGCCAGATAGACTGCATCCACAAAGCCATATTCCCAAGAACATACTGCGTTCAGGGTTTGTGTGGAAAGTGTTACATTTTCCCTTTTTTCATATCCCCTGATTTTGCTGGTAGTTTACTTGTGATTCAACTTGAAACTAATTATAAACGAGAATGTGATATTAAGATTTTTGGAATCAAAAAACTCAAATGTTCAGTAATGGTTTCAAAAGTATGAATATGTGAATCAAAAGCTGTGTGTTCTTTCATTTGGTAAGAGCTGGTTGTAAAGTTCAATGTCATGGTTGGTTGTCATCCATTAAAATTCTATCGTTGTTTGGGAACACAAAGTCTATGAATGGCTGCAAGTGATCTCCAAGTAGCTGAACAGCAAACCCAGTCCATAACATAAAAGCAGCCTCCACCAGCTTGTATAATGCATTGATAACATCTTGGGTCCATAGCATTGTGGGGTCTGTGTCACACTCTAACCTTACCATCAGCTGACTGAAAACGGTTGTCTATAAGGTCTAACCAACATGGCCATGGGCCCCAAGCTAGGTGCTGCAGGCAATGTGTTGTCAACAAAGGCACTCTGATGTCTTCTGCTGCTACAGCCCACTGAAGCCAAATTTTGCCACACTGTCTAAATGGATGTATTCATCATATGGCCCACTTCAATTTCTGTGGTTATTTCACAGTGGTGCTTGTCTGATAGCATTGACAACTCTCACACAACAGCCATTGCTCTGTCATTAAGTGAAGGCTGTTGGCCACTGCGTTGTGGGTGGTGAGAGGTTTTGCCTGAAATTACATAGACTTGGCACACTGATGACATTGGATCTCAAGTATTGAATTCCCTAACAATTTCCGAAATGGAATGTACCATGCGTCTAGCTCCAACTACCATTCTGCATTCAGTCTGTCAATTCCCATTGTGTGGCTGTAATGTCGGAAACCTTTTCACATAAATCACTTTGAGTCCCTTGGAAATCATTTACATACATTTATGAACTTCATGTTCCCTTCATGGAATATTTGTGGATGACAATGCACCATGTCACCAGGCCACAATTGTTTGCGACAGGTTTGAAGAACATTCTGGACAATTTGAGTGAATAATTTCGCCACCCAGGTCGTCCGACGTGAATCCCGTTGATCATTTGTAGGACACAATTGAGAGGTCGGTTCATGCACTTTCACAATTATGAACAGCTATAGAATGCATGGTTCATTATTTCTGCGGGAGACTCCGAAGGACTAGTTGAGCCCATGCTACCTTGAGTTACTGCACTTTTCTGGGCAAAAGATGGAACCCTATGTTAGGAGATATCCCATGACTTTTGTCACCTCAGTGAATACTATATTAACAAAGAAAAAAAATTATTTAATTGGTTTCTCCTACAGCTATACTTTATCAACCTAATTACTGGTGATTATTTACTCTACTCGGACTCTTCAGTTTTTCTGTTTTCTAGACTTTATTCTGAATTCAAAATAGCTTTCAATTCTTTTACATACTACAACACAAATGCTTTGCTTCTCCTGGTAAAATAAGTGGGCTTCTTGATGGCTGTGCCATTTTTTAACATCTATTTTATAACTACAATATTCAATTTTTATGGATTATTTTTAGGATGGATTTATTTACTGGATTATTATGTAGCTCTAATTCTTTTGTTGCAAGATATTGTACAAAATTATTATTCCTTCTATGTTTTAATAGTTATGAAGTTTACAGAAATTAGCAAGAGAAAGAATGTGCTTAGTCTTTATTTAACATATCCCTGATGATGGAAATAAATTTTCTGATAATCTGAAATTGATACATGGCAAACAACTAACTAGTAGTATTTTCCATTAACCAAGCCTCATAAACCAGCCTTCGTTTGATATACGGACATGAAGGTCTCAGGAAGTTTTAAGTTATTTTGTCATAAAATTCAAGAATTTAAGACTGATTTGTACAATCTTCAGAATTCTTCAATTAGTGTACTTCAATTCAAAAAGGACTGTTGTAGAAGTCTAATACTGTATTTACCCGAATATAAGATGAGGGTTTTTTCAAAATATCTGTCGAAAATCGCGGAATAGTCTTATATTCGCAGATTCAGTCTAGTCAATTATGACTTTAGTTTTTACATTGCTATTCCAAGTCACAAAACTCGTAAATGTTGACGTAACAATAAGTAATCATATTCGCATTCGTATTCTCTGCATCTATTGCGAATTTGTCGGGCATTTCAGACCGATATTTTTGAATGGGCCGGTAACATTCTCATCAATAAGGCAATTTTCTAGTCAATGAGACATTTGTAATTTTAGTTTGACTAAATATTAAGAATTTGTTAAAAATTCTCAGGAGGCCTCTTCAAAATTAGGGGTTTGTCTTATACTCGGGTAAATATGGTAATTATGCCAGGGCAAATAACAGAAATTTTAATTCCTTATAAAAATATTGTCTTTATTTTTACCATTACTGACTTTTATTGGAACCTTCTTTATCTCTAAGTAATAGTTTTACTTTCCAATGCTTTTCAGTCCTAGAAACAAATCGAAGTGTGCAATATCTTAGAAACCAGCAGTCAGGCATGCCCATAAACATGTTGCACATGAACCCAATTTACACAATTCAACTGCATTTTTGTGTTAATTTTCTCTGTGAACAAATATATTAATTTCTTTTGTAAAAAATAAAACAATTTACATGTTTCTAGAGAGTTTATATGTTTCTGCAATTTCATTATTGCATAGAAAGTATTTTTCAAACCAACTTTTGAGAACTTGTTACAGCTTAGATATTTAGAATATCCAAGGAGTTAATTAGACAAAAATACTTAAAAATGTCCTAAGATCTAATTTTTGAAATTTTTACGTTTCGACATTTCCTCCCAGAACAACCTTTCTGTGCCGTTGGAATTCCTCGAACACTGAAAAAATTTTAACGAATCGCAGAATATGACTAATATATTGTTAAATACTTCTAGAATTTAGTATTTAATTTTTGTTTTGTCACAATTTATTGTGGGATCTGCCATAATCAAAGGCGATGAAACCAGTACACACTTTTATTTAAATTGTTAAAAAATAACCATGTCTATCAAAATATTCAATAAATCTTCCAGAAGCTAAAAAAAATCAACACTGCACAACTCACTAGTATTGGTTTGAAAGATGTAAGACCTCCAGATTAAACCGTTTCTATTTGTATCAACGCTATAAAAGTAAAAAGTTGCATTGTGAAGTGGTATTTTACCTCGGGGTTTCAACTTTCTCAATAATAAGTACTTCACTTCTCAAATAACATCAGTAAAACCATGTTAAATTCTTTTTATTTTTGGCTTTCAACACTTTTACACAGACCATTGGCATCTTCTACACAAAACTCACTGTTTAAAAAGTATTTACTTATGTGAAAAAAGAATAAGTTACAGCTTAAATATCTACTCACTGAAAAATTTCTGAAACAAATTTTATTAAGAAATAAGGAAAATGTTCAGTTCCTCCCTTGTGAACATATTTCCTGCAAGTATTAAAACAATTTGATTCAAATATTATTTCAGGAAATAACAAATACATTTTCAATTATATCAAATAAGGAACAAGTATCAATTCACACTATTTAAATATAATACTAAAGTATTTACTATAAAAATACTGCTGTTAACTACAAGATCAAGACATGAGAATATCAGAATTTTAATTCACAAGATTTCTTAAATTAAATTTCATGTCACATACTTAATAGTTCAATGAGCAGTGTTGGGTCACTTATTTTAACACAAGGAAATAAGTTCATTAGATGAATTTTATCACACAAAATGAAATATTTGTAATACAATTAAAAATTATTATATTTATCGACAAATAATTATTTTTTCTCTAACAACCATTTCAAATAAATGTTTCACAAAATTAGGAAACTTTTACAGAAATCTCATCAGTACACAAGTCCTCCTAACAGTATCTTGAAATCTCAATAAAGAGAAATGCATCAATGTTGAATTATTCAAACAACATACACTTTATACACAAACTCTCCAACTAGTCTATATTTGAACACATACAATTTTTAGTAGATACTGTGTATGTACCTACTTTTGTTGCTTCCTCATAGCACATACAATAGAACTTCACACAGTGCAGAAGAGGTGGGATAAGAAGTAGCGTAAAAGGATGTGTCCTTTAGCAATCTCATAAAATATATTCACAGTTCAAAATGTTTCTCTTCCTAGAACAAAGACAAACAATCAGTTGTGAATAAACCTTGATTTTGTGAGGAGCAGCTTTGAAAATCATATTGTAAAGAATCAATAACATTAAGATACATTATTTGTTAAGGCATTATGGCATAAACATTTAACTGAAAACAGTTATACATTTCCAAATGCAACCATTTTGTTACATATTACAAATAGACATTAAACTCCGTAAATTCAAAAACACATTTAAGACAAACACACGAAGACATATTTGAGCTTCTAATTATTCCCTTCACTCTTAAACTCAAGACATGTTTTGTACCCCATCTTCAAACGTTTAAACTTTGATACTATGAATGTAATGTGAAAGTTGATACTAAGAGGCCCATGCTTTTTAATGAAAGCTTGGGCTTCTTCAGTCAGAGGCAGTAGCTACTTAGTTCTCCAGGAGATACCACGTGCCAAGGACATGGTGTCTCCTTGACAGCAAAATAGATATTGACTTGTTTTGTGTCAATTGCTTTCTTTAAGAAGATAAGGTAAACTGACAACTCAATGTGTAATTAAATTTTTTCAATGTAGTATAGTTTCTTCTTAAAAAGGTATCTACCAACATCAATTCTAGAAATGTCTAGTAAAGTTAACTACATAGGTTTGCTAGTCAGAATGGCATTATACAGTACCAACATTTTTTTTAAATATAAAATATATCTTACTTTCAAAAACAAAACCATTCACTAAAAATTTGATTGCGACTAACACAGCTTACCCAGTTCATAAAGTTGGAAGAAAATCGTAAATAAACAAAGAGAATAACAGCTTTCTTGCTTAACTGCTGTTAAAAAGACAAACATTATTTTGCCATTTTATATTCCATATGCAAACATTCTACAATACTCTAGTACATGAATATTTTTCAATTGGAAATCTGTTTAATAAAGTTCTGATAAACTTTTTATCATTATTATTTTTATTACAATATTCAGGTCTATATTTCTTTTATTCTTGATAGTATAAAATGGTTAATTTATGTAGAGCAAATGTCGGGACCTGATGGAACGTGGTTCTTTAGTTTCTGAAGATATTTGTTAACTATAGAATGATAGCATTTCAGAACAGGAGAAATTACTTCTTTTATCATCACATGGACTGCTAAAAGAAAAACAAATATGGTCCAAAAATAATTCAAGGTAGAAAGAAGTAAGTTACTACTTAATGCAATGAACATATGTGTTTATATCCAGATCCTTTTAGATTACTAAAACATTGAAACATAAAATCTGCGAAATGTTCACCTTTCTTCAGCATGTCAATAAGATTGGTTTGGATACACAGTAAAACAAACTATTTATAATACCAAATAGATACCCAATTCATAAAATAATAAGAAAATCTTATTTAAACTGATGTAAAAAAGACTAACAAACATTATTTTGCCATTTTACGTTTCATATGCAATCAGTAATCTACAATATTTATTTGTGCAAAATGCAAGGAACTAGCACAATTGTCGATGTTGGACAGTATCAACAGCATCATTTGAAATATCAAAAATGTATCAAGCAAAATTATTCATTTGACATAGGAAAGAGTATTTAAGTAAATGGTTCTAATAAATTAATTTTGAAAAACATTTAAGTTGCAACGCGTAGTTGTGAAAATATGAATTTCAATTTATTGAGAAGTAAACATGTCCAATGATCATCAAGCTAAACAATCAAACATTGTGTTTCTTTTTTCCATGTGGAATGTATAACATAGGAAAATGTTGCCATCTCAAACGTTCAACACAATTTAACATGAAAAAAGCATAAGTTATTCCTTACTGGTTTTCTAACCAACCAGCTTTCCAATAAACCATCATTTCTACAACATACATGATAAATGAACATATGTTGTCATATTACTGTCATTGATATCTAAAAATTATCAAGAAAATACAAATATAATACTGGCATGAAATTGTGATCTACAAACCTATTCTGTTTTTGCACGTTTACTGCTACTAGGTTCACTACTCTGAGAATTCGAATCTTCTGAAAATCCAAGCTGGGCAGAAAAATCAGTTGGTCCTTGGGAGTCACTTACAACCGAAAAGCCTGTAAAATATTGGATGTCATTTTAAAAACTGGTCTCATTCATACAGTGGGTATATGCAGAAAAATAAGGAGGGGGGGGGAATACCTACATGTATTTGAGTCCTCGGCTAATCCGAAATTCGAATTTGACGAGTCCAGAGCTGATGCTTTCCTCGCCAAATTTTCTTTATTACTATGATCTTTTCCTTTCTTTTTCTATAAAATAAAAATCAATTGTAGGAACATCAAGAATGTCTACTTATTGAAAGGTAACTACAAATTAAAGGAAACTGATATAAGAATTACTTTTTTCCTTCTAGTTTCAGATTAAAAAAGGGGGAGAACCGATATCCCATCTGATAAACATGGTGAACAGTGAGAAAATGAAGTTAAAAAAATACAATATTTGAGTTGTTGATATCAAATACTTGGTGATCAGCAAATAATTTCCACAAGAGAAGAAAATTCATAACACGTGTTTCTCATGTCTTGAGAAAAATGAAAGAATTCAAATTTTACACACTGAAAATTTCCATAATTATTTAATTAATTAATGAGACTTCCAATTCCTCTCTCAAGACTTTATTTCCATATAAAAATAATTATATCATAATTGACAAAATAAATTTCATGACCAAGCATGCCCTTTAAAAAAATACCTCTAAGAATTCATATAGTAATAAATTCCACAACACATGGATATTTCAGAGATCATTTGCGGAAACAAAGCTTACTGACAAATTCAAAATTTGTAAGACAACTTGAGTCATTTTTAATAAACTACTTGGGTCTAATACAGATATAGTATGGTATTAAGAGCAATTAAAGAATTGGAGCTGTTTAGGAATTGTTTCCAATCATGTAAAAAGTCTTATTACCATTTGAAAGCACTGCTCTGTATATATTAATGAAGTAAAGATGCCAACTGTTATATACTTACCTGTTCACTGCTTGAAATCGGGACCCATTTGTAAATTTTCATGGTTGTTTCTCCAATTGTCACCCATTTTTTTTCCCTGTCATATAATTTGCGATTTAATTTTAGGATGCAAACATGTTACAACATATCCACTTTCTCATCCTCATCAATTCATACTTACCAGTGGCGTACTTTATCAACCACTTGCATTACCCTTTTAATGTCATCTTTTGCTCTACTTCTAGTTTCGGCTCTCACTGACCTAGACATCATTTTGTCGAAATCCTCATACGATCTTCAAACCAGAAGAGAAGGTGGTTGATGTTAGGTTAACTGCAGCTTCCCTGTCACTTCAAAGAGGATATTATGAAACAAGGGAAGGCGTTTAAACGTGAAAGTCCCTAAATATACGAACGCTCTATACAAGCAATTACAAATACCAATTTCCAACGAAATCACTAACCCCGTACAATAAAATATTTTATTTCCGATATAATTACTCACAAAACACGTAACGCAGGTGACAAGTCTAAACACTAAACAAACCACTCTCGAAATTGCATGTCCATGCAATCGGTGGTACCAACATTACAAGTACAATTCTTTTGTCACCATGATACCAATATGATTTCTTTTGTGACCCATTTCAGATGGAGATGGGCAGAAAAAACGGCTTACAAGGCAACACCATAATTTCACAGTTTATTAATATTAACACAGTTCCGATGCTCTGTACTTTTTCCGTATGCTGAAAATAGGTCCTATCAAAGTCCATGGCATAGTGACAGTTGCCCTGGCTATGGTGTACTGTGATCCTACTGACTGATGGCATCCTAGCACCAAGTGGTGAGCAATCACCCTCGCCATGGTTTGTGAAAGAGCACCTTCAAACAACTGGATTTTTATTGGCTTTTGTAGATGGTGCATTTTTATTTTATTTCAATTAGACTCATGTTTTTAGCATAGAACATGAAAAAAATATGTTCCTTTATACAAATATTTAAAGAACATTACAGTTCCTACGTATTAAGCCTCATACGTGTTCTTCTTTTTTGTCAGATGAACGTTTTGGATGCTAGCACACATTAAATTGCAGCAAAATAATCGTTATCTTCTACAAAAACATTTTTTTAAATTATTGCGTACGACTCGAAATATACACACTTTCAGAGAAATGTGGTCTTCCTAACGGACTTTTTCCGTCAGACGAACGATTTAGGTGCTACAAATCGTTTGTCTAATTAAACTCTTATCTAACTGCGTATTTTTCTAGATACATGTAAAAAAGCATTTTTTCACAGGTTACGAATTTTGCCCCACAATTTAACTTGCTCTAGTGCTAAACCGTTCTTCTAACGAAACGTTTTTATGAAACAAAAATCAGGGCAAATTTAATGTTGTATATTTGTGTATATAAACATAATATTTGGAAAGTGTTTTTAAGTTAGGGGTCGTCCATTATAATAAAATCAATAGTGGCATACGGGTTTGAGACTGGTCCTAAAAAAACAAATAGTTCAAAAAATTGCAATCTCCCAGAGGAAAATTCTCAGAAAAATTTTCGTCCCAACCAAAGTAAATGATCATATCTGGAGAAGGAAAACAAATGATGAATAAACGCCCTAATACAACATAAAACATTGTAAGGGATGATAAATCCAGAAGGATAGTTCGGCTTGGACATCTAGAAAGAATGGATGCTTACAGAGGTACTACACAAATCAGGAATTGGAAGCCTCTAACAACTCGAAAAAGGAAGGCCGAGAACCAGATGAAAAAACGAAGTGCTTCAGGACCTAGAAATTATGGACATTAAGAGCTGGAAAAAACAAGCAAGAGACTGAAAGGAGTGGAGTAAAATACTTGAGCATGCTAAGATCCACATCGGAAGAAGAAAAATAATAGTAATAATAATAATAATAATAATAATAATAATAATAATAATAATAATAATAATAATATCCGGTGTGGTGTGGGGATTTTAGTAAGAATAGCACCAGGGACTCCCCTGTTCGTAGAAGGCGACTATGGAGGCAGTGTCGCTGTCATCTAAACATCGCTCATTCCACAAACTCTGTGTGTCATTGCTTTCATTACCTTGGGCACACATTGTTTTCTGTCCTGTAGGCCAATCTGTAACGGCCAATTTGTGTTTCCGCGACGCTATTAGGTTGCAAGGGGCAGGGGTCGTTTTCCATTCTATACCTTCTATTTAACTCTGTTTCTCTGTCCCCTTGTTCTTCGTTTTCGTTAAGCTGGCGGTAGCTCAAAAACGCTAGGGAAGGTACCTGAAGAAAACCAGATGGAGGAATTGTCAGGATCGACAGTTAAGGGTGCAGGGATCGAGCCCAGTACGGCGGTGGTGGTGGCAAGCAGGCACCGGGCGTCGTCACCCAGCGACTGCAATGCAGGGGTGGGGATCATTGGCAGCTGGAGATAGTGCTACGAGTGATAGCAAGCTTCGTGGGACCGTATGGAAGTCTGGAACTAGGGTTGAGGGAACCTTAAAAACCTCGTCAGAAAAAAGCCGGAGTTAAATGCAAAAGAATGAAAGTTGGAAAATAACTATGATGATGTTCAAGAACACCGCAGCATACTAAAGTACTTAAGTAAAAAGAATGAAAGGAAATTTCGATAAAGTGAGCCAGTTTTATAATGAGAGGAGTATTAGCACTGCGCTGGATCTGCGTAAAAGACATACAGAAAACTTCATCTGAGATCTTGTAGAAACGTTATATGACAATCAAGGTAAAAAATTAACTAGAATTGGAAGAAATAGGGCATTAGATGTTGAGTAAGTGCTCTCACGGCAACTGAATACTAAAGGTGTAGTTTTGGCAGTGACTTACTAAACTGCAGTGAAAGAGGAAATAGTTCAAGAACTAGCTTCTCAAGAAGTCATTGCCTGTCGTAGGCTAAAATGAGGCGGGATGGACATATAATTTTTCGCGTCATGGGGTCCCTGAGTTCAAGGTTGTAACGTTACTAGAGAAGCTTAAGGGGATTCTGTTCGTGATGTTAT